CAAGGTCTCAATGAGCCCAGGTTGACCTGCAACTTTCTGTGTATCTGCAGATGACCTTGAACTCTTGATTCTCCTCTCTGTCATTCCCAATACCTGGATGAGGGTGTCCCCTACTGTGTCCCCATGTTGTTTCTTAGAATCCTTGTTAATTTTAGAAGATGATTCATTTACTTTTACAAAATTCAATTGGGATTTGAATTCAGATTGCATTGATAATTCAAGTGTTTTGCATTGTAAGGGCTTAATGTATAAAATTTTACCTCATGCAAAAAAATTTTCTGTATGCAAATATCCTTACATATCTTAGTATTTCCATATTTTTTAATTTATTTTTCATCAGTATGTACATTGGCATGTGTGCACACATGTATGGATGTTAGAGGGGATACTTGGAGAAATTTGTTATGAGAGGGATGCAAGGGATCTAGAGAGATGATTCCCTCAGGAAAGCCTTGTACAGGCAGGAGGACCTTGGGTATTGTCCTGAAGGAGCTGTTTTTGAGACAGGTCTGTCATTGGCTTCTCACAGATTTAGCAAGGCTGGCAGCTCAGTCAGAATCAAGGATCCTACTCACTCTGCTGTCCTCATGTCTGCCAACATGGCCAGCATTTAAGTGGGTCCTGGGGATGGAACCCATAGTCCTGTGTTCCTGGGTGAGCACTTTACCCACTGAGCTATGTCCTGGCTGTTGTGTAACTTCTCAGCACTGTTCTGTTTTTAGGCTACAGATCTTTCACCATATTCTCAACTCAAATAGCTCTATTCAAATGAGCAGTTACCCCAGAGGCACATGCATGCTCCTTCAATCCCCTAGCACAGGCTCTGTGTTCATCTGCACTTGCTCCTCTGATTTCCAGCTGGGATTCTAAGGAAGGAGGTGCAGATTCAGTCCTGGGTGAGTTCAGCTTCCTTTCTGTCCTTCTGTTCTCTGGACTCTGTCCTGCACAAGCTCGTCCTTCTCCATGTCCACAGCTGAGAAAACTCAGAGGGGAAGCTCAGGTGAGGGCTGTCCTGGACCACTTACCTTGGCTTCCACCAGAGGAAGACCATCAACACACAGACGGGGGTTATGAGCACAGCTGTGGCCACCACCACCCCGACTGTGGCTCCCAGGTTCACAAGTGAAGGATTCCTCTGGCCCTCTGTGTCCTCCAGGCCAGCTGTGGTGACTGCAGAGGTGACGATGGAGGGGCTCTGCATGGTGGTGCTGATGCCTGGGGAGAGATGAGGAGTGAGCAGATCCCCTGGATGAGGGAGTGTGGTGATATATTGTGTACCCCAATATATTGTGTATCCTAATAAATTCATCTGGGGATCATAGGACAGAGCCAGCCAAGAGATTAGACATAGAGGCCAGACAGTGGTGGCACACACCCTTAATCCCATCACTCAGGAAGCAGAGATCTGTCTAGATCTTTGTGAGTTCAAGACCATATTGGAAACAGAGCCAGGAGCGATGGCACATTCCTTTAATCCCAGCAGTAGGAAGTAAGATGGCAGGGCACAGAAATGGCCATATAAGGAGTGAGTCAACAGGAAGTCTCGATCTGGAGGCTGAGGAGTTGGTAAGGTAAGCTTGGTTGTGACTTTTTCTGTTTTTCTGAAATTTCAGCTTTCACCCCAGTACCTGGCTCTGTTGTTGTTTTGGATTTTTTTTTCTAAAACAGGGTTTCTCTGTGTAGCTTTGTGCCTTTCCTGGATCTTGCTCTGTAGATCAGCCTGGCCTCGAACTCACAGAGATCCGCCTGCCTCTGCCTTCCAAGTGCTGGGATTAAAGGTGTGCGCGAATACCTCCCGGCTGTTTTTTTGGTTTGTTTTGTGTTGGATTTTTTGTTGTTGTTGTTGTTGTTAATTAGACCTTTTAAAATTCGTGTTACAAGGGAGGGACAGGTATGAGTGTCACACCTCATCTCCTCTGTGGGATGTGGGATGGGAACAGCTGTGAGAAGTTCACAGAGGGGAACACATGCTGAAGGCTGAGACTCCAGGAGAGCAAGCTCAAATGTTCATTCTCTACCTGTCCTGGAGCTGTGTTCTCAGATGGTCATCTGGGCACAGGTATTTAGGCCATGGGAACACTGTTGTTTTTGTCATATATATAGGTAACATGAGGATATGTCTCAGTCCTTAGAGTGTTGGCTGCTTGTTGCCTTAGATCCTGAGTTTGAACCTTAGTAGTCATATGAAGAACGGCATGAATTTGCCTTTAATCTTAGCCCTGTAGCCGAGGCAGGAGATCTTTGCAAGTTCAAACCAGCCTTGTCTGTGTATAGAGCGCCACACCAACCAGAACTGAGTGAGCTGTGATCCCAGTACTGAGGAGGTGGAGACAGGCGTGTGAATGAGGCTCACTGGCCAGCCAGCCTTGTCTACATGGCAAATTTGAAGCTAGTGAGAGACCCTGTCTCAAAATAAAGGAAGGCCACCTGAAGTTGTTTTCTAGCCTCCACATGCACATCATGAAACACATTCACACACATGTCCCTCAACCAACACACCTGAATAAACAGACCCACATGTTCACACATAGAGAGAATACAGAAAATGTACAACAAAAAATACTTAATTTTGGCCATAAATGTACAGCTCAGTGCAGGGTGGAGCACATCCATCCACTCTACAAACATTACTAAGGTTAAATTGCACACCATTTACCTATTTGCATTCACTAAAACAACAATTCCCGAGCTGTGGTTCAGTACCCCCACAGTGGTAGAATATAAGATATCCTGCATATCAGACATTCACAGTATGATTCATAACAGTAGCAACATCACAGTTATGAAGTAGCAATGAAAATAATTTTATGGTGTGCCGTGGTCACCACAACATGAGGAACTGTACTAAAGGGTCTCTGCATTAGGAAGGTTGAGAACCACTGCTCAAGACCCATGAAACAGCTCCTTTCTCTCCCTTCCCTCAGCACTAGCAGCTGCTGGTTGACATTACATCAGGTCAACATGGCGGCCATAGAGACTGCACAGAGAACTGTGCTGTGGGCGTCCTCTCACAGGGTGGCTTAGTCCAGTCAAGAGCCACAGCTGGATGTGGTGGCACAGGCCTCTAAGCAGCACTTGGGAGATAGAGGCAGGTAGATATGTGTTAGTTTCAAATCAACCAGGGCTAAATGGTGAGACCCTGTCATATAAAAAACAAAACACCAAATATAAATATAAAAATATACAAAAATTTTTTAAAAAGCCACAGAGCAAGACTGTGATCAACAACTCAGCACACAGAGTCTCCCAGATCCTGCAGGGCCACATAAAGGGCACAGGGATAACAGTCACAGAGTGACGAGGCAGGACCTCAGTGCTCCCTATGCACGGGACTGCAGTTACTTCTGCTGCAGAGGAGAGGCAGGGATCAGAAGACAGAGCAGCCATATCTTGAAAATGGGGACATTAGTTCCCAAGAGCCTTGGAGCTTGTGTGGGAGAGGTGAGGGGTGTGTGCTGGGGAGCTAGGAGGGGAAATGGGGGACTGTGGTCACAGGTGGCAGTTTACACTTGGACCGGAGGACTCCAAGAACATCCTGTGGGCACCTGCTGTTTGTTCTGGGCTTAGGTTGAGCTGTGTGGAGATTCTCCATACAGGGCCTCGGGGGAGCCCTGCCCCAGGACCAAGTGAGTCAGTTACAGCCTAGAGAAGTCACTCAGTTGAGGTCCTGGAGAAGTGGCCTGGCCTGAGTGTTAGTTTGGGACAGGTAGGGGTGAACTCTCTGGCGCAGGGGCAGGCTGAATCCTAAATAGGGCATAGGGTTCCATCTTAGAAGAAAATGACAGACAAGGTCAGAGGAGACAGCAAAGACTTGTCACAACAGCAAGGAAATGATCTGTTTGCAGAGGCCTGGGCAGAACCACAGGAAAGGAATATGAAAGAAATCTCAGAGTAGTGGAGCCTGAGGTGACATCGAGGGGACAAGGAAGCCAGTGCCAGTGTGGCTCACCATGGGTGATGGTCAGCTGGGTCCCTGCAACTGACTGCAAACTCTCCATGCCTCGTTTTGAGTTCAGTTGAAATCGGCAGAAGTACACTGTCTGGTCCTTCTCCTTCAAGTCCAGGATTCTGAGGACTCCGGATGTCTGAGGCTGTGTCCAGTACAGGATGAGCCGGTTCTTGAAATGCTCATGTATGAAAGGTGGGGTGGAGTTGTAGATAAATTCCCCATGGAAGTGCTTCCATCTCCAGAAAATCCTCATCTCTGGATCCTCTGCCAACTCCCAGGGTAAGTAGAACGAGAAGGGGATTTCGATGGAGCCGCCTTCCACACCAGAGAGGTGTTCTGGCTGAATAACATTGAAGAGTCTTTCTCTGTTGGGTCCTACTGATTGACCTGGGAAGGGTGGGGAAAATCTGAAGAGTCTGCAGGGGATGTAAAGGACATCCCAGAGCTTTGGTTGAGCCATCATCCACAGGCAAGTGTGGGACACAGGGCAGGACTGTCCCTATGTCCCACTGTCTCATACAGGACAGGACAGACAAGGACGTGTTGGGCTGGACTCACTCTGAGGATGAGCTCTGTTGGGGCACAGGGCACCCTCTGGCTCCTCTAGCAGACCCCTGTCCACATGACAGCCTGCTCTTCCCAGCCCCACTGGCCCCTCCTGTGGTTAGGGCAGAGTCCCTGCTAACAAGGTCCCCACCACTCACCAGCTTGCAGACACGCAGCTGACATCAGCAGAAGCAGGATCCAAGCCATGGCCTGATTCCCTCCCGGAAGTGAGACCAGCAGAGCCATCAGGAAGTAGAGGAGCCCTGTGCTGGGACCCTGGGGTGCTCAGAAGCCAGAAAGAATCAGGAGCAGGGCACACAACCCCTGAGTCTTCTCAGGTGGAGAACAGATGGGGCAGAACATCCCCATCTCCACTTCCTTGTGATCAGCAACTTCTTTCATCATTCTTCCTTCTTTCCACATTGCAGAACATCCTTCCTTGTGGTCACTGACAGGATGACAGTGCTCATATGCCCAGATCCCATTTTTTCCAGGAAGATATGCAATTAACTGTTCACAAAATTCTAAACAGTCTTATTATATAAGAAACACAGAGCCAAATATAGAGTTAAAGCCTAAGAGATCAGAGCAAGATCCACGACTACCTTTAGCATACCACTCGCTATCATCCTGTCTTCCCCTGAGAGAGGGACCTTCTTCTTGTGTGTGTTGTCTTTTATTGCTTTCTCGTTCTGCCTTCTCATTGGCTCTATGCCCAGCCACAACTTCCTCATCACTGCCTGTCTATATAGACCTCCTGGTCTCTATGGTTGGTACTGGGATTAAAGACTGAATGGTCACCATGCTTGGCTGTGTCCTTGACCACACAGAGACTCTGCCTGCCATGTGATCAGTTAAAGGGCATGGACTACCACTACCTGACTTCTATTCCTGGCTCGCTAATGACCTCTGACCTCCAGGCAAACTTTATTTATTAACATACAAAAAATCACATTTATTGCAATTAAAATATAACCACATTTCCTCCTATTATTCTAATAAAAAGAAAAAAAGAAGAAAAAGTTATAACTAATATAAGAAAAACTATATATAATAAGCACAACTATATACAATATATACAAACAATAATATCTAAACAATGACTAGTTTATTTGCTTTGACGAACTCAGAGAAAATATTCCATTATCTATCCTATTTTGGTAAGTCCAAAATGTACCTGATTCACTTTCTATCTGAACTTATGTTACTAATGAGAACTATCTTATAATGTATTCCAAATTTATACACTTTACACCTCTTAATGCGTTTCTTTTGTGAAATTCTTAACAAGGAAAGCTATAACTATAACTATTTAGTCTCAACTTACTATACCTATAACTATCTAATCTTCAACGTCCTCAGATACCCAAGAAGGAAATTATATTACCTAAAAAAACAGGAAGTGCATGCATGCGGCTTCCAAAAATGTGAGTTGACAGAAACAGCCAGCTGCCTGGACCTGAGGTTTCTCCGCAGTGTTGGGACATCATCTTCAGCCTATAGGCTTAGCGTATCTGACAGACTCATTTGTGAAGTAAGATGTACACAAGGCCTACAGTTCGACCTCACATTTGGTGAGAGTAGTCCATGTACCAGAAACACCTGAATTCCACTAGTGTCCTATCATGATTCAGGATTTTAAATTCTGGAAATTATTGATATTTTTTTTAAATTCAGCTGTCTATTCTTCTTGGCTTGTGGTTGTGGCTTTAGCAACAGGCATCCTCTGAGGCCAGACAATATGGCACCATAACTGAAGTGGCCTTTGCAATCTGGAAAAGGTACGGTGCCCCTTTCTCCTAAGGCAGCTGAACAGGCAGGGGACCGATGGCTTCTGGTGTGCAGTGGAACAGTAGCTGAAACAGTTATACTTGAAAGAGTAATTAAGCTGACAGAGTCTAATCTCTCAATGGTAGACTGGCATTTAATAAAAGAGATGAAGCCACCCACAAGCTGAGAAGAGTGGGATGCGGAGAAGAATGGGATGCCAAGATGAAGCTCAGAGCAGCAATGTGTCACTGATGATATATTGCCTGGAACATCTCTGAGAGTGGACACACTGCCCTGTGACTGGGGTGGTGGCGTGAGAGGTTGGAGCAGAGGCTGTGGTGACCTCAGGGCTGGTCCTGCAGCAGGGTCATCTCACCTTTCCCCATGACATGGTTCCATCAGTTCTGTGGAAGACAATATTGTACCAGAGGAAGTGGCATCATTCTCCCTGAGTGACATGTGCAGAGGCGACTTCCCATTTCCTCAGATTCCTGCACTGATTGCCTTCTCCATGCTTCCCTGCAGGTGGCTGTGCAGCCGCCTCTGTCACATCTGCTGTCTCTGCCTTCCTCACAGTCCCCACAGTCCCCATGGTCCCCAGATCCCTTGACCTGAGCCAGGCACAAACTCTCAGGGCCTCACTCCCAGCTACATAAGGACACATTTCTATATTCATTGAATCTTTGGTCGGGCCATGGCAGAGAATCTTTCTATTTATTTATTTATTTATTTATTTATTTATTTATTTATTTATTTTTGGTTTTTCAAGACAGGGTTTCTCTGTGTAATTTTGGTGCCTGTCCTGGAACTCGCTCTGTAGCCTGTGCTGGCCTTGAACTCAGAGATCCACCTGCCTCTGCCTCTTGAGTGCTGGGATTAAAGGCAAGCAACACTACCCAGCAAGGTACAGAATCTTAAGGATGAAGTGGCCATAGTTTTACAGTCAGTCAGGACAGGGGACAAGGCCATTGTACTTTTCCTAGGGCTTTATTTTTTTTTATTTTTTTATTTTTTCAAGGGCAGTGGTGTCTCCTATAACCCAAACAGGGCCTTGAATATGTTATGTAGCCAAGGATGACCTTCAACTCCTACAGATCCTCTTCTCTATCCTCCCAAGTGCTGGGGTGACAGATGTGCCCCATTTGTGCCCCATTATCTCAGGCTGCATATTCATCCTAGGGTTCTGTGTGTGCCAGGCAGGTAAGTACTCTACTAGATGAACCACATCTTTATCCTCAGTGAGGTCTGATAATGGTCATGAGTATTCATTTCCAGGTCTTATCTGGCTTTGCCCTACTGTCTGGGTCTTTGAGTAAAACTTCAACAATTTCTACGTCACCAAGGAGGGGCTGGACCTGATGAGGTGGCCATGTCAGGTGCTGGTCCCCAGCGTTTTTACACAACAGGGTCTGGTTGGATCTTCAGGACCCCAGCTGCCCTTGTACTCAGCCTCACTGCTGCCACCTGCTGGACCCTGAATCCCAAGTCATGGGCTCTGTTCTAGTTTCAAGTCCTCAGTTGAATCCCCATAGAGACTCTGCTGTGGGATGATTTTGCCCAGGATGCTGTAAACAGTCTCCTGTAATGCCAACTGTGTTTCACCCAACAGCAGTGACTGGGCCCTGCAGCCATGATGCTCTCAGAGGGGAGGGGCACATTCTGTGGAAGAGCACTCTGGGGCAGTGGTGTGCACACGTGGGACTTTTGTATACAGGAGAGGCCATAAAATACCTCTTTGGTTCTGCAGAAAGAAGATCAAGTGTCTTATCTTACTGCAGAACCATTTTAGTTAATAAATTCATCAATTGATAATTCCGAACCCATTTTCCTGGTATGTTAATGGCCATATAGTGAGCCATTTTGTCCCTTAGGCCAGGGAGTTTGTTTTTGACCCAGCATTTCAACCTATTATGGGTAGGGAACATGAGACATCCTATTCTCTTCTGGAACTGTGACGAGCTGACACTGAGGTGTTGTTGTCAGGGCCCAGAAATGTCAAAAGGCAAGTCAAATGCTGGGCAATGGGGCATTTGTCAGGAGCTTGTGGTTATCTGACCCAGCTGTTGAGACAGGGATCAATCACATTGGCTGTGCTGGTCCACATCTGCTTTCCACAAGTCCAGAGATCATAGTCACTGTGGCAGTGTAGTCAGCAACTGAAGCTTGGAGGTGACTGCCAGCCAAGTGGAAACCTGTTGAAACAAATTTAAACTAGGAACAGAAGTTAAAATTGTGAACTTATTTGGAAGTTTCAGCCCCATAATCTTAGTAATTTGGAAGGTCAGGAGTCCCAACACCAGGAGAGAGAAAAATACCATCCTTAGGAATAGACAAGTGGGGAAATTTAAGCTGAACTTATATGGAGTCCTTTTTAACCTCCATTTAGAGCATCCAATTTTTGTGACACTTTTTAATCCTCTGAGGCCTATATGAATTATCTTACAAAATGCCATAAAAGTTTTAGATGCATTAGTATTACTAATCTGTACTGAAATCCATGTCATAGACAAAGCAGATAATGGGATCTGTAAAACAGCAGAAGTGGACTCAGACCTTTTATGAGTCCAAGCAAAAACTACAGATTTGGGTTAAAAACATGTGCATTTTCCTTCTGTCCAGAGATCCAGGTATAGATTAGACAGAGATTTCTTTAGCTTGATGACAAGCACTTTTAAGTTTACATTTAATTATATATAATTTATATTTAAGTTAATATTTAACTTAATTTATATTTATTATTTATATTGATGACAACAAAAATAAATTTAAAATGTTGAGCTTGTGACTGAACAGTAAGTAGTCACTGTTTTACCAGCTTATCAGAACTCTATTAAATGTTAAGCTCTGATCTTTTATGTCATAGAAGGGGAAAGTGATCTGAAACATTTCTCATTATCTAAATCATTTATATCTTAAATTATTTTCTGAGATCCTCAAAGCTTATACCCTTTCATATCCTCAGACCTTTATATATTTAAAAATATTCTTAGACCCTTAAAACTTGCTGAGACATTCATATCTTCAGACTTTTTTCAGACCCATATTTAAACCTTTATGACTTATTTCAACACTCATATCTTAGAACATTTTCTCAAAAATGTGCTAACAAGCTGGATATATCCTTGTGGGAGAATCTGGTTACCTGATGCTGCCAAGCTGACAAAGTTATAGCCAGCATAGCCATCAATACTATCAGAGATTTTAGAATGATAAAATTATACCTGAGTGCAGATAAAGCAGCTTCTGAATCTATTAAAAATGACAGGGACCATTACATTCCCAGTTAGCCATCCCCAGGTCTCCATAGCAGTGGAGGCAGAAGTATCAAAACAGCATAAATTTTCAGCCCCAAGTCCCCTAAGGGGAGAGTTTTTTGTTTGGCAGAAGGACAAGGGGAAAACTGACCTGATTTGTTTAGGCCAAAGGGGTGTAACCCATTCCCCAGTGTCCTGCTGCTTGTCCACAGTCTGGGCTGTGTCCTGGAGGCAGGTGTTGCATCA